GGAACATTCACCTAAGAAAAATTAAATGATCGAAAATTTAAAGAACTATCGTGGGGGAATTTTCCTGAAATTGTGACTCTTATTGCTCTATTTGCCCTTGCTCTAACTCTAGGAGTCATCTTGAAAGTTTACCTGGGCATTTCCTTAGCCCTCTGGACCTATGCATAAATGGCGATTACATTTCATCCCGCTTTGCCCTTCAAATCGTTACAAGAATGTCTTCGTGATGATTTATAGCCTTTCATGTTGGGTAAAGGCTTTCCCCTGCTGATATATCACTGCTTCTATTGTAGCAACGTGGCTCCTTGAAAAATGTAATACCTGTCTGAGGAACACCAAAAAACCTTTGCAGTGATTAAGGAACTCATTTTACTAAAACGATTTTCAAGAATTATACTGAATCTTCCCCCTGTACCAGAGGTTGCATTGTCCTTATTATTCTCAGTTCTCTGGACTTGTAGAAAGAACAATTGGCATAAGAAAACCCAACACGCTAAGTTTTATGAATCAGTTTGGTCTAGACTAAAGTTCTCCAATTAGTCATTTTAAATTTAAGAAGCACACTTTTTGGGGGGTACACCAAAGTCAATTTGGATAACATAGTACTTTAAGACAACGTTCTTCATCCAAATTTGTGAATGGCAATCTAAGGTGCAATGATTGTGATCTTTATCTAGAGGAAAGAAGAGTTATGAAAACGGAACATGCAAGAAAACAATTAGTCAAATGGACAAATGGACCACAGGGTGCTCAGTCTCCATGACCTTGAGATCAGACAAATTGTATGGTTCCTGGCTAACATTACTAACTTCTCTGAAAGAGGTCACATTAGAAAGTCCTGAATAAGCCCTGCCATACACCTGGTCCTCACCCCAGTGGTGTGAGTGGCAATACCAGGAGGGTGGGTTGGAAAGGGGGAACTGATTACAAGGATCTACATATAACCTCCTCCCTGGGGGGCAGACAACAGAAAAGTGGGTGAAGGGAGACGTCGGACAGAGCAAGATATGACAAATTAATAATTTATAAATTATCAAGGGTTCATGAGGGAGGGAGGAGGGGGGAGGGAGGGGGAAAATGAGGAGCTGTTGCCAGGGGCTTAAGTGGAGAGCAAATGTTTTGAGAATAATGAGGGCAATGAATGTACAAATGTGCTTTACACAATTGATGGATGTATGGATTGTGATAAGAGTTGTATGAGCTCCTAATTAAATGATTAAAAACAAACAAGCAAAATAAAAATTTTAAATAAATAAATAAATAGAAATAGTCCCGAATAAGGTGAGCAAAAATTTGGAACAAACAAAAATTTATAAAGAAGACTAGACTTACTTGTTGGATAGAGACTGCTGGAACCCCTAAGACTATGGCCCTTAGACACCCTTCAGATCTGGAAATGAACTCATTCTGGCTCAATTTTCAGCCAATAGGTCTATAAGGAAAATAATAGAACTACGGGGGTAAACACACCTAAGAATAATCAAGCATTTGAGATCAAACAAAACCAAACATTTACACAAACACAAGGACAAAGTTCATAAGGGTTTGGAAAGAAGGAGGGCTGGAAACAGGAAGTACTGGGAAGAATGGGATGAGTGATATTACATTTCAGGTATGACAACGACTTGAAACAAAATGTGTATGTATTAAAGAATGAAAAAAATGTTCTGCTTTATAAACCTTTAACCAATTCAAAATAAGAAGTTAAAAAAAAGGAAGAACTCCTTTTGGATATCATAAACTTATTCCTTATGGAAGAATTACTGGGAGGCCTATGATCCTTGCCTATATTACCTTTCCTGGCCCTAACTTAGTACAACCTATATTATTCCAATATTGTCAAAATCTAATGCAGTTTTTCACATATTGAAGAAGCATTTAAGAAGTAAAACCTGGTTCTCCTCTTTTACTTCATATTACCCAGGAGATTATGCTTTGGGGGAAGGCACCAACTACAAAATTCTTTGTAACTGAAAGGGACCTAGTTTAGTTCTCTGAACTAAACCATGTGCAGAAAAACTAGAAGGAATGCATCATTGAATTAATTTATCACAACTAAGGCAAGTTAAAACATCTCTCTGGATTTAACAACCAAATAGAAATTTGAAATTCAGATGGAAAAGTCCTACTCATCAGAAGTAGATGACTGCAAACGTAAAGCAGGTGAGCTTTTTGGACTTTGTTTCTTAACTGCTAGTATTTTAATCATTTGGTTTTTTTTTTCTAAACTTGTGTAATCATTTCCTGGTTTATTGAATATTTTTAACCTTAACCCAATAAGTTAAACCTTTTATTCCATATGCCGGAAATTGAAATTTTTATGGTTGTTTAATTCTTTTCTTTTTTTTACGTAAGTGGTTTTTACTTACACAGAAGGAGGATTCATTTTAAAAGAGGCTATCTTTCTTGAGTAGAGATGCAGTCCCCTTTGCAAACCTCTGCCCAACAAACCTTTGCTGTGGTCACTGTGCTTTTCTGAACTGCGTCCATTTCCATAATCATTGCTCCTTGGTGTGTCCAGGAGTCTCCTCTGGGCCTTTTGCTGCTTACACACAGGCTCTGCACTTCTCCCCATTCCCTCACTCAGGGCCAGTTGAACTTGCTGATGGCGCCCAAAAATTCTGGAGCCAAGAAGTAGGTGATGCAGTCATTTTGAGGAATGAACAGCTGGATGTTCACCACCTAGGGCATTGGGATGGCTGAACCAAGCGAGTTAGTGCCAGCGACTTTCAATCGGGGCCCCTTTGGAGGGTCCCACTTCAGGGAAAGACCAGCGTGGGTCCCCCGGCAGTTACAAACAAGGCCCAGCGACTTCTCCCGGCTGTTCATTTTTTTAGTGGCAAGTGAGTAAAATCAGATCCTCTGCAGTGGGAAGCAGCTTGTGTGAGCTCGCATCTGTGCAGGATGAGCTTCTCTGGAGATAGAGCACAGAGCTTTGATATCCCCTACATGGACAGAGACCCTTTGCCCAGGCTAGCTACATGCTGTGTGGACAGAAGTTAGCTCGCCCCAGGGATGGGTTTTTGTAGACACTGTGTTCATTCTGTTAACCCTGGAACGAACCCAACCCAACTGCCATTGAATAGATTCCAACTCAGATCCACTCTATGGGACAGAGTAGAACTGCCTTTTGGAGTTTCCAAGACTAAAAATCTCTGTGGGAGTAGGCAGCCCCACTTTCCTCTCTCAGAGCAGTGGCTGGGTTTGACCCTACACAAGCCCCAGCTCCCCGCCACGGCTCCTTGGCTCTCACTGAGGGTTTCTTAGCTGCAAGGATGACTGACTACCTTGAGACCAATTGGGATGAAGGCAGCCTCAATTAGAATACTATTTCTCCTCGTTGCCATCACGCTGATTCAGACTCTTAGTGACCCTGCAGCACAGGGTAGGACAACTCCTGTGGATTCCTGAGATTGTAACTCTTTATGGAAGTAGAAAGTCTCATCTTTCTCTCACAGAGTAGCTGGTGGTTTCGAACTTCTGACTTTGTGGTTAGGAGCCCAATACTGAAGGTCAGCCATCGCAGAGAATATGTAGGAGTGTCCCAGCCTTTACCACAGTCCCTGTTACTCAAGCCATAGGGATTTGGAGACAGGTTTCGTCTTCATTTCCCACAGCATATTTCTTCCTGGGGACGATTTCGGGGTTGGCTGCTGTCAGAGCAGTCCCTGGAGAACTGGAGCTGCACAGTGGGGCGAAGCGCTGCCTGCGTAGACCCCCTCTCCTCAGGCAGCTGCAGAACGCGCCGCTGTGATTCCTCCCCTCCGTGTCCACTGGCTGAGTTTCAGAAGCAGATCACCAGGCTTCCCTCTCCTTTGGCCACCAGGTGGACATCGCAGCGGAGCAGCACACCAGTCTCCAAGGACAGGCGGATGGGTGGCGGGGTGCTCGAGGGGTGTGACCAGGAGTCAGGCCGGAGCCACCTGCGTGGCAGGCAGACCTTTCCCTCGCCTCCTCAGTGGTACATTTTCATGCCCATGCCCGTGCCATTGCCCCTGCTGCCCCTTTTCCTCCCCACCCGACTCCCTGCAATTGTACTGATGAACAGGAACCAGGCTGCGTGGATGTTCATCCTGGGTTGCCACTTATTCCTTGTGACTTTAGCAAGTTCCCCAAGGCACCTAATAAACGTGTACCTTGGGTTTTTACCTGGAAAGTGGTGATTATAACACGAAAACCCAAACTGGAGGATTGTTCCTGGGCTTCTGTAGGTGAGCACACACCCAGTAGCTCGGACAGAGCCTGGAGTTCGGCCACCATCCCTGCCAGTCACCCAGACATTGCTACTCCCTTCTCTTCGTGCTCTTGGCTAGGAATTTTTCTCCTCTATCTCAGAGCTGTGGGATAAGCATTGAACTGCCAACCACAAGGTCAGCAGTTCAAATTCACACCACGCCCTCCACGTTCCTCAGGAAAAATATGAGTGAGACTATTCCTGTAAAGATGGAAAGTCTTGGAAATCCTGCGTAGGGGCTCTGTGATTCAGAATTTGACAGCTCAGTCATGCCACTGAGTCAATGGTGACTCTGCCTCTGGGGTCTCCAACACTGTCACTCTTTACAGGCATAGAAAGCCTTATTTTATCCTGTGGAGCAGCTGGTGGTTTTGAACGGCTGACCTTGCCGTTAGCAGTACAATGTGTAACCACTATGCTGCCAGGCCTCCAAGGAGGTTTATTTTATTGTTCTTTTTGTTTGGGGTCTTCCTACTGCTTTGCTCTTGTTGCTTTCCAACTCAGCATCTTGGCTGGGCCACTGCCTTCTTCACCAACTCTTAGGGGCCCCCAGTAGCTATCTGAGCATATTCGAACTCCTTAGTGGAGTGTGAGGCCTTCCCTTTTCTGGACCAGCCAACCCGAAGCACATCTTTTTTTGCACTGGTTCCTGACCTCCACCTGATGTTCCTGTCTCATGTGCTCTATCTTCATGTGTCAGCAAGTGACTTGCCATCTCACCCCTTTGTCCTGGCTGCATCCGGCCAGTGTGATCTTGTACTCCCCCACCTCCACCGGGCAGGGGAGACACCATGATCCGGAAGGTGGTTTTCCCAGGGAGGGCGAGGCTCACCCAGTGCACTGCGGGTGTGCTGATCCCTGCGGTTTCCCCAAATGCGGGAAATTCGACTGCATGCTTTGTGGTAGTGGGGACTGCGTTCTCTCTCTCCCCTGGAGCAGGGCGAGCAGAACCCGGGTGGGCGGCGGCGGCGGGCGCTAGAGCGCAGGGCTTGGCAATACCCCAGCCGGTTCGCGCCTTCTGGCCGCCATCAGCCCTGCTCTAAAGGGCCCGAACGCGCTCATCTCCTGGATGTCACCAACTTTCCTCCTTAGAAGAACAAAACGCCTGCCTCTAGCTCGCCCGAAAAGCGCTTAAAGCGGCCCGTGAGGGTTAGGGAGACAGGGTTCAGGCCTTTCCGGGAATCAACAGCCATTAGGTGTGCCCGATGATTCCCACCCATGCCAGCGGTTGTTTAATTTTTACAGCCTTTAAAACTAACTTTATTTGATCAATTTTGGTTCATTTCCCAGCAACTTAATGAATATATTTTATACCCATTATTTTCCTCTTATTTTCCATTATTTTAATAATGGAAATTTTCCATTATTATACTTTAGTTAACATTTCTCTATTAGCAATGCTTAATAGGTGCACTTTTTCTGTTTATCTTAACTATCAAAGATGCTTGTAACAAAAATGCTTTAATCAAATTAACTCAATCAGTAGCCAGCAACAGCAATTTGCTTGAATGCTGGGTATGTCGACCTTCCATGAGACTGTACTGATCCCCTCACTGTACTCGTTTTAGATTACACCTTTATACTTAACTTTACTATTGATTTGAAAAATCATATAAGTGAGATATTAATGTCTAATTATATTTACCCCCAGAAATATTTGCCTATCAGCTCTTTAGTTCAATCTTACTCACGTCTAGGTAGGTCCTGATGGGTATTCTATTCTTCTTGCACAATGCAAACTGTTCTGTTAATGATGCTCAATATTATTCTTCATGAATAATTAACTGTCATATAATTAATCATTAAAATATCCCAGTTCATACCCAAATCTGGAATCAACTAGAACTTGAAGAATTACCTATTTGTGATGGTTTACTGACTGTATATTTGTCCAAATGAATCAATCAGTTCAGTTCATTTCCTAATACTCAAACCAGAGTAGGTTTAAGTATATGCCTTAACAGGATGTTTTGTGCTCCCCAGCTCAGTAAAATTTTTGTGTGTGGAAGATCAGCTTATTTAAGGGAAAAGTCCAATGACTCACCCTATATTTCTGTCTTCCCATGCATGGTTAGATGGCTGCAATATGTGAGGTGAATGCACCCTAAGTATCCTTGGAATCCCTATGAGTATCTAGTCATACAATGCCAGCTTACTAGGGAATAAAACTGACTGCCATCAAGTTGATTCTGAATCATGGTGACCCTATAGGACAGAGTAGAACTGCCCTGTGGGTTTCCAAAACTGTGCTTCTTTATAGGAGTAGAAAGTCTTATATTTCCCCTGCAGATTATCTAGTGGTTTCAAACTACTGACCTTGCCTTTAGGAGCCCAACGCATAATGAATATCCTACCATGGCTCTGTTATAATGGAATAGTGACTTGAAATTATTATCCTTACAGAAAAGAAAACTTATCCTCTATGATCACTAATAATCTCATCACTAATAGAACTAGGTGGGGCTTGTCAATTATTTAAGCCCGTTCCTTTTAGTCATTGTAATTGTTATTATAGTGCTTGTAAGGATTTTATGTGCCATATTTCTCATGGGCATAGCCAGTTCTTGAGATCATCTAGCCATGTGATGAAATATGGATTTATAAGAAGCTGAATTTTGCTAAGAAGAGTAATGTTTAGTTTTAGTATCAAAAGTTTTGGAATGCAAAATTACTCCTCTGATGTAGTATTGTTTACAACACATCCACCAGTAAGAATGAAGTCACCTCAAATATGAGCCTCACATGGCTAGATAGTCTCCTGCAGATTATCTAGTGGTTTCAAACTACTGACCTTGAATTTAGGAGCCCAATGCATAATGAATATGCCACCATGGCTCTGTTACAATGTTTCTGGTGAAGATAACATCATATGGTGCCCAGCCACCTATAATAGCAGAACTTGTTCTTAAATGTCATCAAGTTAGCTCTGACTCATAGTGACACTATGTACAACAGAATGAAACACCGCCAGGACCTGCACCATCTTCACAATTGTTCTTATGTTTAAGCCCATCATTGCAGCCACTGTGTCAATCCATCTTTTCTAAAGTCTTTCTCTTTTTCACTGGTCCACTACAAAGCATAATGTCCTATTCCAAGGACTGATCTTTCCTAATAACATGTCAAAAGTATGTAAGACAAAAATCCCGCCATGTTTACTTCTAAGGAACAATCTGACAGTACTTCTTCCAAAACAGATTTGTTTGTTCTTTTGCAGTCCGTGGTACTTTCAATATTCTTCACCAGAAACATAATTCAAATGTATCAATAATAGAGCTAGCATATGGAATTTCTATAGCTCATATGGAACAGTTATCCCCAACACATTAATCATTGCAGATCATTGGTAACTCCTTTGTGGATGATCTGCACCACCTAGCATAACTTGATCAAAGGGGGGAAGATGTATAAATGAACCCCTAAACTGAGATATTTGACATAACAAAAATGACAAATGACTGCCCTGACCTAAATTAAACTCCAAATTGAACTATAATGCGGCTTGACATAAAATCTCTGCTTCTACTCTTCTGAAGAGACAGTATATCTCCTTGTAAAAGTTTAACAGCTTGTAACTCAAACAGGACAAGGACAAGATTTTAGCTTGTGTGAGGAATTGTTTGCTAACAGGTGTTTGCTCCATGAATGAGAAAACAAACTCGGTATCATGTCCATAATTGGGCACTTTTGACCTAGTTTTTATTCAGCCCTCGGTATCCCAGGATGTGTACTATAGAAAACCAGGACTTTATATTCTGTCCTTTTGAGACGGAAAACATCCTTCATAGACCACACCAAAAGGATCCTATTTGTAACTTATATTAAGCAGACTGGACTTTAGCACACTGGATCAGATTAAAGAAACTGAAATACTTTCATGTACATAAGGCTGAAATACCCCAGTGAGAGAAGAAACAGGTGACTACTATCTCAAGGTTATAAATGTGGAAGTCTTTGGACGTGAGTTCAAAATTATTTCCTTGAGGGTGCCCAGTAAGTGGCAACTCAAGACCATGAAATATGTTATATTTTCATACTCGCTTTGCCCTTTTATGACATATATAACCCAGTTCTTTCTTTGGAAATGAGCATTACTGGAAGTTTTTCCTTATTTTAAAGCTTCATTATTAAAGTAAATAATATCCAGTCACCTAAATTGTTAATCTGTACAAGATGGGAATTGGAAACGCAGGGAATCTAGAACAGATGAACCCCTCAGGACCAGGGGTGACAGTGGCGATACCGGGATGGTAGGGGGGTGTAGAAAAGGGGAATTGATCACAGAGAGCTACATATAACCTCCTCTCTGGGGGATGGGCAGCAGAGGGTTAGGTGAAGGGAGATGCCGGGCAGTGTAATATAAGATATAATAATAATTTATAAATTATCAAGGGTGCATGGGGGAGGGGGGAGGAGGAAGGGGGGAGGGGGAAAAAGGAAAATGAGCTGATTCCGGGAACCCAAGAGGCAAGTGAATTTTGGGAATGATGAGGGCAACAAATGTATAGATGTGCTTTACACAATTGATCTATGTATTGTGATGAATTTTATGAGCCCCAATAAATTGATAAAAAAATTGTTAATCTGTACAAATCAACAATCTATGTATTTCAGTCTAAAAAATTGTTCTATGCATGTATATTGTCTTTTTCTTGGCAGTATTTTTAATTCCACACCATTGGCTAAATGAATGGAAATATCAACAGAATTATTATATGCCTGTGATAGGCAGGTTTATTATACCAACCTGACCAATAAACACAGGTGGGATTAATAAGGTTGCAGTTTAATTGAAGGGCAAAGAGATAAATGGCTCAGTGAGCCTTGCCTTTATGTGTCTTGCTCGCTGAATATTGGACCAGTGTGCAGCTACCTTAGCTAGTTCTCTCCCTCAACTTGTGAGCTACACTAACTTTGGGACACCCAACCTGTGGACTGCCAGTGTATTAATTGTCTCATGGAAGTGAGTTAAACTGAGCCATTTGTACTGTTCTGTGGACTAATTGGCTGTTTATTTCTTATGTTTTATACATCTCTATCTACCTATATAAAATCATAAGTGTCCTGGTTTTGTTTCTCTAGAGAACCCTGTCTAAAACAATGCCATGTGGATAATTTATAATGTTCTTCACTAAAATAATAATGATGGCTTTAACGTGAACCAGGGGCAAATACAAACCATAGATATACAGATTTTGAGCTCTTAACCATAGCCCTGATCTAAGAAAATTGTATTCTTATGACATGGCCCTCCTCAATACCTACCTTCATGGAGTGATCACTGATGATACAGGTACTGTGTTAGGGCGAGTTGACAGGAGAAATAAATCCAGTGATACTCATATATATATATAAGAGAGAACTTTATATCAAGAAGTAATTATATATCAGGAAAACATCCAATCCCAGTCCAAAACAAGTCCTTAAGTTCAATACCAGAACATAAATCCCTCTTCAGAATCACACAGCCACATGCAATGATGCAGAACACAGGAAGATCACAGGCCAGTGTGTGCAGTGTTGTGTGGATCCAATGGTGGTGAACACATCAAAGGGTTTGTGCAGGTCTCAGCGTGGCTCATCAACAGGAAGCTGAAGACAGAGAGAGAGGGGCCGGCCTCCACAGAGACATTTATCTTGGTCACACTTTCAAAGGAGGTCATCAGGCTGCGATCTAATTGAAAGGCCAAACTCCACCCATATCTTTTTACAGGTGCCATGTTGGAGCAAAGTGTGGTGAACAAAGTTGATGGTGTCCAGCTATCAGAAAGAATAGTGTCTGGGGTTTTAAAGGCTTATCTTAAGACAAGCAGTCATCTAAGTGAGGCATCGGTTAAGTTCACACAGAAGCGCACCAACCTGTGTAGTTCAAGAATTGTAAATAATAAAATCCAAACATGGAGGAAAGAATGGTATTAGAGTTTAAATTCTG